AGGGCAGTGTCACTGGCCCTCATATGTGGGATCCGAACCGGGGCCCTCTGGCGTCCCAAGCGAGTTCTTAACCATCGCGCCACTCGGCCGGCCCGTTGTTTCTGTTTTTTAAATTTCTAATCCACTTTGGACTGGTACATTTCAAAATGTGTTAAAATATATAACTAGAAGGGGCCGGCCGAGTGGCTCAGTTGGTTAAGAGCTCGCTCAGGGTTTGAGCTCTGAGCAACAGCAGTTCGATGCCCGGCCTGAGCTGAGCTGCCGCTGAGCTGCCAACAGGTGGCAGGATGGCTCAGCTAAAAATAAATAAATAAATAAATAAATAAATAAATAAATAAATAAATAAATAAACAAAAATTAAAAAAAATTAAAAAAATATATAACTAGAACAATAAAAATTTATAAAGACATGCAAAATGTAAGTCCTCCCCACCTATTTCGTTTATTAGTTTCAACAGACCTAGCTTAGTCAAACTACTATAAAAGGTTCTAAATGCCAACTCTTAATTTCTGTTTGTATCTTGTCACGGAATGGCAACAAACAGTTGGCAGACAAGTATCAGTCCAAGGACCACACTTTGAATAGTGCTGTTCGAGGTGAGAGGAATGCCAAGAATGAAACACTGTTTTAAGCTATTAACCTTAGGTGACATAGCAGAATGAGCACTGGGCGTGAAAGTCAAGGTTTTGGTCCTGGCTCACTGACTTACTATAAAGGCGTCCTTCCCTCTGGGTCTCATGTCTCCCAGTTTTGAATGGTGACTGACTTGCCTGTCACACCTGGGAGTTCAAAGGATCTAATAAGGTGATGGAATTTTCCATGGAGAGCTGAAGGAAAGGAGCCAACTGCCAGTATCCAACTACATGTCAGGAAATCGTGTAATTGAACAGATCTATTCTAAGAGAATGGGAGTTTTAATGGTACAAGAAAGTGGGAGGAAAAAAGAGGAAAGTGAGTTAGGAGGCAAGAGGCATGCTTGGGAAAACAGGTCTGGAAGAGCTGACATAGCAAACAGAACAGTTAAGTGGTAGGAATGAATGAAAAAGGGGCCGTGACCGTGGAGCTGAGCCCGGCATGGAGGATGGCTGGGCTGACAATGATTCTAAATGGGCCAGGAGCCTCCTTTCTACCTCTCTTTCTCTATAGACTCCCAACAGCAGTCTTTCTCTCTTTCTCCTAGTACTCAAACTCCAGATCCCCTTTGAATACTTCCCATTCCTCGTTCCAGCCCCCAGATCCCAGCCCCTGCTTGGCCACTGTGAGCTAGATCTAAGGAGGAGCACACTAAACCCTGAGCGTCAGCTGAGGACAGTGAACTCCAGAGGCAGCCGGGGTACACCTTTAGAGAGTCAGGCTGGTGCTTCTGCAAAACCCCGGGGCACACGATAAAGAACAAGGCCTGTCTCATGGACACACTCTTGCTGAAGTTCTGTCTCAGACACTGAAGGTATATATTTCTCTATCTCTTTTGCCTAGGAAATCAACTTTTACAAGGTCATTGACTACATCCTGCACGGTAAAGAAGACATCAAAGTAATCCCGTAAGTCACATGACCATACCCAACTTCCAAGTGGACAGTGAATGCTGCCCTATCATGTGCCCCAAAGGAAGTAAGAGTTAGAATATTTATAAACACCCTGAATAGCTGCCATAGTATATGCCATATAAACTAATAGAGGGGAAAATTGAATAATAATTACATGCTCTGTCAAACCAAAAGAAGGCAACACAAAAGTTTAGAAAGGACATAAAATAGGTGGGAAAAATACAAAGTGAACATCAAGATGATATTTAAATCCAAATACATCAGTAATTACTTTAAATGTAAATCCACTGAATGTTCCAGTTAAATGACAAAAATTGCCAGTCTGGATAAGAAAGAAATCTCTCACATTTCATTGATTCTAAGATGCACAGTTTTCTACTTTTTGATATTTCTTAGATGGAAACAATGACATTGTACAATGGCTGTCAGTCAGGTTATAGTCAGATGTATTGGTTATTGCCTGCCTATGCGTGAACTTGGTCCTAACCATTCGTATTGCTATGACTTCAGTTGAGTTATATGCATTGTTGGTTGTATCCACATTGAATTTAATTGCCTTATAAAATAACTTAGAGATTATACTACGATTCAGCATTGAAACCAAAAGTTGCTTTGAATGGCACAAAAAGACAGGAAAAAGTATAAAATATGATAAAAATCTATGTCTAAATTTTGAAAGAGCACTGATGATATTAATAAAATAATAATTACAAGTTCAAAAAGCATACCTTCACAGATTAATTGGCAGTATTTTATCTTTCTCTGTTGCATATAAGAAATAGTTTGCCAAAAAACTGATGACTTCCTAGATATGAAGAAATACTGTATATCCTGTTTACAAGAGACCTATCTAGGAAATAAGAATACAGGGAGGATGACAGTAAAAGAACAAAAAAAAAATACACCAATGCAAATGCTAATCAAAAGAAAACTGATGTAACTATATTAATATCAGATAAAAATAGACATTATGTCAAAAAGCATTAGTAGAGATAAAGATAATCACTTCTTTTTTTTAAAAGATTTTTTTTTTAATTGGGGAATTGGGGGGATGGGAACAGTGCTGGGGAATTGGGGAAGGGGAACAGACAAGTTGCTGTCATTTTGTTCTTCAATCTAGTTGTGGAGGACGTTGCTTCACTTGCCCAAGTTGGCACCATCATTGCGCTCTTCCCTGGAGAGGCAGATCAGTCGCTGGCTTCTGGATGGCTGCTCACTGCGGCTGCTGGCTACACACGCTGGCTGCTGGCTACACACGCTGGCTGCTGGCTACACACGGTAGCCCATGGCAACCCACTGCCACAGGGGCTGCAGCCTACGCCGTCGCCGGCGACTCACGGCAGCCCAGCTCCAGGTTGAGCTGTTGTTCAGCATCTTAGCTGTGGAGGGCAGTGTTCACTGGCCCTCATATGCGGGATCCGAACCGGGGCCCTCTGGCATCCCAAGCGAGTTCTTAACCATTGCGCCACTCAGCCGGCCCAAAGATAATCACTTCTTAATGATAAAGGGCTCAATTCACCTTGATATTACAAGGAGATATTATAATTATAAATTTGCATACACTTAATAACAAAAAAAGGCGAAAGCTGACAGAAATATAAGAAGATATAGAGAAATCCATGTTTGCTAATTGATATGAGAAACAGACTAAAATAAACAGAATATAGAATATTTGAATAACAATTCACAAAAAATCTAATGGATATCTACAGAGAACATGGCACCCTATTCCCAAAATTATAGAATACTCTTTTTCAAGCCTTTTCAAGCATACATGACCAATTACAATAAGTGGTGATATAATGGGCCATAAAGCAAACCTCAATATATTTCAAAAGATTGAAATCATACAGTGACTGTCCTCTGGTCGCAATGAAAATATGTTAGAAACCAATAACTAAAAGCTAATTGGAAAAATCCTCATATGCAACTAGAAACTAGGAATTACTCTCTGAAAAAAAAAGAAAAAGAATACACTCCCAAATAACCCGTGGGTAAAAGAATAAGTCAATGGGAATTAGGATATATTCTGAACTGAAAAATAATGAAGATACTACATATCAAAACCTATGTGATGAAGTGAAATTGTGCTTAAGGTGAAACTCACAGCCTTAAATATACATATTAGAAAAGAGTAAAAGCTCATAAAGTAATGAACTGTGTACCCACCTGTACCAGGGTCCCAACAGATAATAGGTGTCATATCCAAATTAGGGTTTATGTACAAAGGAACACATTACAGAGGTGTGGGTGGAGTGATGGGAACCACAAGAGAATGTGCTGGTAGCAGCGTTGTTGTAACCACTCCTGGGCCCAAAGGGTGGTTGCTAGAACCTGGAAGAAGTCAGAGTCATATAGAGCAGGACACCTTGAGAGAAGCATTGCCCTTCAGTCAAGGACCACAGTGAGCCCAAAGCAACCTTGCCATGGAGGACCCAGGGAAATAAATAACCTGACCTCACTGTCCTACTTCCTCTAGTCTTTGGCCAGGTCTCTGCACTGGGCCAAATTCAGCCAGAAGCTGGGAGGCCAGGAGCCCTGTTGATGTAGTTCATACAGATTGGCCTCCTGGGACGGGGGGAGCAAGCGTGGATGTGAAGGGGCAGACAGAAGCTAGTGATCACATCAGCTCAAGAAATTAACAACAGGGGAGGAGGGTGGTAGATGAGGGTAAACGGGATCCAATATATGGTGATGGAAGGAGAACTGACTCTGGGTGGTGAACACACAATGTGACATATGATGATGTATTACAGAATTGTACACCTGAAACCTATGTAAGTTTACTAACCATTGTCACCCCAATACACTTTCATTTTTTAAAAAAAGGAAATTAACAACAAACAAGCAGAAAAATAAACCCAATCAAACAAAACAATACAAGATAAGCCCAGAAATTAATGAAATAGAAAAAGGTAAATGATGACCAAATGCCGAAAGTTGGTTCCTTGAATAGATGAATAAAACTGACAAATTCCTGGCAAGACCAAACAAGAAAAACAGAAAACCAAACGAGCTGTATCAGGAATGAAAAGAGGGCATAACTACAATGACACACATGTTAAAAAGGCAATAAGAAGATGTTATGCCAAAAATGTTTTAAATCTGGAGGAAATAGGCAAATTGCTAGAAAAACAAAACATACTGACTACAAAGCAAGAAGAAATAGAAAACTATAACAGTCTTAGAGCAAAAAAATAAATCAAACTTTTCCCACAAAGATACTACAGGCCCAGATGCCTTCAGGGGTGAGTTCTACTAAACACTTAAGGAAGAAATAATGCAATTCTTGTACAAATAATCCAAGAGAATAGAAAAAAAAGTGGCTAGTATAAACTTGATACCACAACCCATCAAGGGCTGTATGAAATAGGAAAATTCAGACCAAGCTCATTTGTGAACATAGATGCAAATACCCTAAATAAAATTTTAGCAAATAATAACTAAAAAGGACTATGCATCATGACCCAGTTGGGTTTATTCCAGGAATGTATGGTTGGTTTAAAATTTTTTAAAAATTAATCAATTATCATTTGCTACATTAAGAAAAACATGACAGTATCTTCATAAAAAAGAACTTTATTAATCTTCTAAAAAGAATTTTTTTAATGTCTGAAATACTAAATATTGACAGCGACATGGAGCAAAGGAAACTCTAATATACCGCTGATGGGAGTATAGATTGGTATAATCACTTCAGAAAACAGTTTGGCCTCATGTATACCAGACTGGTCATAGCATCACTGTTTATATGAGCCCCAAACTGAGGGGGAATGTCCACCAACAGTTGAATGGATAAATTGTGCTACAGTCATACAAGGGAAAACTCCAAGTCAATAAAAAGAATGAAATACAGCAACATAAAAAAGAAGCCAAGTTGGGCTGACTAAGTGGCTCAGTTAGTTAAGAGCTCGCTCAAGAGTGCAAGCTGTGAGCAACAGCGGTTCAAGTCCCGCCCAAGCTGAGCTGCCGCTGAGCTGCCAACAGGTGGTAGGATGGCTCAGCTAAGAAAAAAAAAAAAAGAAGCTAAGTGAAATATTATATATTGTATGATTCCATCCAAATCAAGTTACAAAAAAGGCAATATTAAACTAGAGGGCACTGGAAAGCATACTTAGGTGGTAAAACTCTACAGAAAAGCAAGAAAATCACTTACAATGCCAGAACAATTGTTACCTTTGGGGTTAGGGAGAAGGCTGCCATTGGGAGAGGCAGGTCAGTGGCTTCCAAGTTGCCAACAACATTGTTCTTGACGTGAGTGTGGTTTCATGGATGTTCACAGATAAACGATTGATGCAGATTTTAATGCATTTTTCCACATGTATACCTTTCCTCACAATAAACAAATAAAAGATAATAACCCCCATATTTGTAATACTGTTGTATTAAATAAGCATGTAAAGCACCTAGCTTCATGCTTGGTAGGTGATAGGAGCTCACCATGAATGAGTTTTCCCACTCTCTCTATGGTATTAAGCTAACTCTCTATAAAAGTATTAATGGAGGAAAATGATGGTTTCTGTTTTTGCTCAGCAGTCAATCTATTGAACGAATGTTGTCTCTCTTCTTGGATAGTCAAACTCAGTGTGTAGTCAATAAAATGTAGTTTATCAATCTTGTCTCAGTGTCTAAATTTGGACATTAAGATACTGAGTCAAGATCACTAGGCTCGTGCAGGCCTAGTGAATGTAAGCAGATGCTGGCAGCCACCAGAGAGTAGAGGGAAGGAAAAGACCCAGATTTAAGTTTTTAGTCCAACTATTCTTACAGCAAAAGTTACCATTTGTCTTTGGTCTTTACAGGAATCCACCTCCTGACCACTGGGCTTTGGCAAGCGGTCTCCCCACTTACGTTGCCCAAAATGGCCTAGTAAGTAATGCAACTTCGAAGGGAAAGAGTTGAACCAGGTGGAAGAGTGAAAGGATTTCAGATCAAGAGAGTGGGAAAAACAATGGAAAGCGTGGATCCCTAAACGCCTCATTCTCTCATTTCTCAATTCACTTGACAGTTGGTCCAAGGGAATGAGCAGAGAATTGACATTTGAGAAAATATGGAACACGCAGAAATAATCTTTAGATGGGAAGGTGCAGAGTCTCACTGACAAATAAAGAGCCTTATGTCAGGGACAAAATCATGACTGGCTAGTCTTCCAGGCTCACCACGGACTAAGTCCTAACCTCTCATACCAGAGACTTAGCTGCCTCTCACAACCCCCATCTCTGCCACATTTCCAGCCATACCATACACAGCAGAGCTCAAATGCTCTATCTCCCACCATGCCCCACGCACTCAGGGTCAAGGGTGGAGTGGTAGCATCCCCTGTCCCAGAGAGAAGGGTCAAGTCTGTTAGTTGCACATCACCCCCATACTTGAGCATGGTTACCCATGTGTCAGGCCCCAGGCACACACAGAAACAGAAGGAGGGTTCAGGGGTGCCTGGAGACCCAGGAGAGGGTATTGTCATGAATACCAAGGAAATAAGAAAGTTTCAACAAGGAGGGAGACAACCAAATACAACAAAAGTGATTTGTGAGATAAGAACTAAACCCCATTGTGTTTGGCAGCTAGGCCATTGATGGCCTGATAAGAGTAAGATTTGGTAGCGAGGCGGAGACAGAGACCAGTATGTGGTCTACTGAGGTGTGCATGGGTAATGCGGAGGTAGAGAATATCAGGAAAAGAGGAGAAAGCCTGGATGGCTTCATTAGAGACCATGTTGGGTCAAGGGAGGGTTCCACTGTCAAAGATGGGAGTGACTCAAGCATGGGCACAGGCTGAGGGGAAAGAACCCTCAGAGAGGTCAGCGATCAGGAAGAGAATCATGGCAACTGATGGAATTGGTCCAAGGAGAGGCCAGGGGAATGGTGCAGTGGGTAAGCAGTCCTCCAACAGGGGCAGGGACAGCTCAACCTCTGAGACCATAAGATCAGGCCCGTTGGGACAGGCAGAGTCGCTGCAAGCCCCTATGGTGCTTTTCTGAGAACTGGAAAAAGCTGTCTCTTCTCAATGGATGAAAAGTGAAAGGCTCGGGGCACAGTTCCGCAAGTCAAGAGCAGGCTGAATGTAAACTCCCAGTCTTCCCCTCTGCCGTATGCTTTTGAGCAGTACACAGACTATACAACTGTACACAGTGGCCCTATGGGCAGGGTTCTAGAGGTATCAGATAAATGCCATCTGCATGATAGAGTAAAGTGGTCCAATTTTCAGAAGAGGAATCTGGCAATATACAACCAGAGCTATAGCACTTTTTATTTCTTATTCTACTTTGGGGTTTATACCCCAAGCAGAAACTTCTTCCTGACAAGACAGATTAAACAGAACCCAAATGTAATTATTCAAAGATGTTTAGAGTAGCATTATTTATATTAATAAAAAGAAAAACCAGGACACAACCCAAATAGGCAACAAAAGGGGGTGACAACAAAATAAGATACTATACAGCTATTAATCATGACAAATTGTAGACTTAACTTTTTCGAAGCTTGGAAATGACTTAGGAGTAAAACAAACAGTAAGAGGTAACTTTATAAGGTAGTTTTTTCTGTCCAGTAACCTTAGTTAATAATTCAAAGCCATCGTGAGCATGTTTACCTGATGAAAAGAATGTGACTGCCCTGGGCAGGGATGCAGTGTTTCTGGGACGGCATGCAGCGCTTTGCCTGGTGCTCGCTCAATTCTAATCATGGCTCCATTACTCCCTTTAATGGCTTTCAGATTTGCAATATCATGAATGCGCCTGCAGAGGACTTTTTTGAATTCCAGGTAAGTCATTTTTAAATTTTCTCTCTCCATCATATGATATCCGCCCCCGCCTTCCCCCCGCCAAAAAAAAAAAAAAGAGGATTAGAATACATTAGACTCCATCAACATGATGGGAAAGCAGTCTCAACGAAGTCAAAACATGAGTAGGGAAAAAAAAAGTCATTTACCCACAGAAGTGGGGAGGGAGTTAATTTAGTCAATTCTAAGGTGGATTCCATTGGGTTTTAACACTCATCCCCTTTGCTTTCTGGCCTCAGGTACTTTGCTTATGCTGTTCTCTGCCCAACCATCATGTCCTGCCCAAATCCCTCTGCCCTTCAATGACAACCTCAACTGCTATGAAATTTCAGCGAAATTTTATTCTGTTTTCCCTGGCTGAATATCATTTCTGCCTCCTTGGGATTTTTATGGAATATTGTTTAGTAGTCCATTTGATTTTATTTGTCTTTTTTCACACATATTTATGGAGGGCATCCTCTATGCCAGGCATAGGCACAATGCTACACTGATTACAATGGTGGAGATAGGCGTGGTCTTTGTCCCCAGGGAGCATATGATCATATGGGAGAAGAGGCACAGGGTGTGTGTTGGGGTTCTGGTCAGGAGAAAAGCCAAGCAAGGCATAGAGGAGGGACTCTCTCAGGGGGCCTGACTTCATCTGGGATGAATCAAGGAACGTGTCCCTGAGAATTCTATTTGGCAGTAAAGAAAGGGAAGATGGTAAGAGAGAGAGAGAGTTTGTTGGAAGGTGCTAAAGCAGACTCTGCATGAGAGACTAAGGAAGAGAGTGACAGGAGGAAATTGCAGAAAGGCAGACAGAGGCCAAGTCAAACAGGGCCTGGACCATACCAAGAAGTTTGTCTTTCTTATTGTATTTACCTTGTTTCATCTTTGATGATCCTTCCTTGTCTTTTAGACTACTCCTCTCAGCAAAATATTGTCTCCTTTTTGTCAAGGATCTTAATTTTCTTGATGTCTTTAGCTCTAGGTGTCCTGTCAATATTTGTTGAGTTTCGCATGCTAGGCATAAGCAAAACAAATCACTAGCAATCAGGAAATCATTAAGAAGGAAATAAAAATGACTGCTAGGAAAATCAGTGAATTATTTTTTTATTCGTTAAAGAACATGATGAAAGAGCTCAAAGAGAACATACTTCCAATGTTAAAATTGTACGTCTTGGTGTCATGATTTTGACCATATCAGCGTGGCATAACAGCCCAAGCTGTTGCTGAGAGTCGTTATTCTGGTTTTAACCATGACAGGACTTGGTCTTTTACTAATTACAGTTTACTGTAATGAATTATAGTTTATTCACATTCATAAATCAAATCTGACCTTGTTTTGATTCCTCCCCACTCATCACCACAAAGTAACCTGCGTAATTGTTTTTAACACATAGATTGCATTGAGTGACTTCCCTCTTTAAAAAGCTTTAATGTTTTTCCATTTCACTTTCGATAAAATCTGCCTCTGTGTCATGGCCTTCAGAGGGACGGGATTCCCTGAAGGCGAGGTACAGAGAAGTTGGGGGAAAAGCAGGTCTTAAACTTGTTTCTTTACCAACAGCCCTGTGCTCTGTGAGTGATGTTCTGTATCCCTCCGGGGACACACTCTCACCAGGTGCTGAGTTCCAGTGCACTTAAATAATAACGATTACCATCTCACCACCTTAAGAATTTTGGAATTTTCAAATTGGAACTCTCCAACTCCTTCCTCGGCTTGCGTCCCTCCTCTGGCTCCCAGGGTATCATGAAGAACTTCCCACGAGCAGCGTAATTGCTTGTTTACCTTCCTGAATGTGATCAACCTAAGGGCAACATCTGTGCCTTATCTGCCTTGGTTTCCCCAGCTCCTAGCTCAGTTCTTTGCATGTTGTAAGACGTTTGATAAATGTTTGATGAGTCCATGGGGAAAGAGTCTAGAAATGGTGCTGTCTAGTTATCTCCATTTTACAGATGATGAAAGTGAGGCTCAGGCAGATGGGAAGTGACTCACAAAGGGCACCTGATGATTGACGGAGAAATTTCACCTCTATTTTCTCATTTGTTTCATGATGCACATATTCTTACTCTTGTCCCCATCTAAAAGTGGGAATATTGAGGCCCACGGAGACAAAATGACAAGCCAAAGTCACACAGAAAGTCAGGTCAAGAGGCAAAGGCACAGCTTATAGCTCCTTGATTAATTCAAAGTTGCAAGAATCCCCAACATGGCCCCTTCTAAGCCAGCTCCCCTACGGTCAGCAGCTCCTATACCTGAAAGGAAAATACTGGACTGTTTGTGCACATCACTATATTATATCCCCAGCACACAGCATGCTGCTTGGCACATAACAGTTGGGACAATCTTAGAGTGAAAACAATATGGCTCTCTGATTCAAGGAGCTCCAGCCAGATGGGCTATCTGCTTATGGCCTTTGTTTGATGACTAAAACCATGCAAATCCAACAAGGCCTATCCTCCTGCTGCCCCCTCCACAAATCAGGGTCATGATGCAGCGTGAAGCCCATCACAGCTGCCTCTGCAGCCTGGTACCCGAGGAAACCTATTCTGGTTTTTCTCTTGTAGAAAGAGCCTCTGGACGAGTCCGGATGGGTGATTAAAAATGTCCTTTCTATGCCAATTGTGAACAAGAAGGAAGAAATTGTTGGGGTGGCCACATTTTACAATCGCAAAGATGGGAAACCCTTTGATGAAATGGATGAGACCCTCATGGAGGTATGGTGTGTGAGGTCTTTTGCTATTGAGGTTCAGATATTCAGACTCAGCTTGCCATAGGCTGGGCTTCCAAAGCCACGTAGTGGGGGCCCAGGAGTGCTGCTGCCCTATCCCTGTGGGGGGCGGGGTGTGGCGTTCACCTCGTAGACACTCCCCTGGCTTAGCCTCCATGGCTGCTTATTTGCTCTTACTTCTGCACCACCCTATGTTTTCAGAGAAATCCGCATTCCATTGTTAAAAAATAAATAAACCTTACTTTTTAGAGCAGCTTCAGGTTCACAGCAAAACTGAGCAGAAAGTATAGAGTTCCCATCTACCTCCTGCCCCCCCCCACACACAGCACATTCCCTTTTGTGAAGTTATTATGCACAAGAATGAAGCTTTATGTGTGTTAGTGCTTTATTAAAAGTATATTCCTACTCAGTATTTTGTCATATCCTCTCATCTCTTGAAAAGGGCAGCACAGGGTTTATCAAACCCATTTTATAGCTGAGAAAATGGAGGATTAGAGAGTCTTGCCCTAAGTTACAGAAGCAGGAACAAACCCAGCTGTTCTTCCTCTGATCCTTCCTTCCTTCCTTTTTTTTTTTTTCTTTCAGTCTTTGGCTCAGTTCCTGGGCTGGTCTGTTTTAAATCCTGACACTTATGAGTTGATGAACAAACTTGAAAACAGGAAGGATATTTTCCAAGACATGGTAAAATATCATGTGAAGTGTGACAATGAAGAAATCCAGAAAATCCTGGTGAGGAAAGTTCTTTCCTTGTTCCTTTTCTAGCAGGGGCTGTGTCCTGGGGATATGGCCAGAGTAAGGCGGGACTTAAACTCCATCCAGCAGACATGGGTGTGGGCTTGCTCACTGCTTTCTCTCCCCGAGGCTCACACAGGGGTGCTGTGGGCCCTCAAGTTCAATGGATGAATGGATGTGTTCCAGACAGTCATACATAATGGCTGCTCTGTGTAGCCTGGGAACAGCTGTCCCTTGTAAAGTCACCTCAGTCTTGGGTTACCAGCTCTAGACACTCAGGCCTTGGCTTACCAGCCCTAGAAACTCCATTTGTCACTGTGCTCAGGACTGACTTGGTACCAGAGATAGAGTCATCCAACCACAACCCCTGCTGAGAGAAAGCTCTATCTGACTGACTGGCAAACAACCGTCAGTTTCTGAGACTCTCTCCTTGCGGTCAGCTCACTTATAATAGAAGAGACAATCAGGTCATAGAGGAGTTTAGTGAGCAAAGAAGTATGACACAGGAGGTTAGAGGTTAGTAGGGAGCCCTCAACTAATGGCATCACTTTACAGTTTATAAGATAATTACATAGTACTTATGATATCATTTGATGCTTAATACAGTCCAGTAAGGTGTAAGGATTTCTTATACCTTACCCAGTAAGCGTAAGGCTTTCTATGACCTTTGTAGAAATGAAGAAATCGAGGCCCAGAGGGGAAAAGTAACTTGTCCCCAAATCACCCAGTTCATTCAATAGGTCTCACTTAACATTTATCAGGATAATGAGCAAATTCTCGACCACTCTTATGAATGGGATGCCTCATGAGGTAGTGAGCACCCCCTCAAGAGAGGTATCCAAGCAGAGGCTAGAGAATCATATGTCAGGGGTGCTATAGAAGAAAGTCCTACCTGGGGTGGGGAATTAAACAAGATACGTCTATGGGAATTAGTGATTCGTCATTCTGGGATTTTGGTCTCAAAGGGACTAAGATTTTAGAAGCAAATTGAGTTAGTCAAATGGCATTGGATACAATGTCCAGCTGAGTTCCCAAGACCTTCTTTATAGACCTCACAAGTTGAAACAACAGGCCAATGTTTTCAGAGGCAATTTCTTAAGCTGGAAAGGTAGCATTTGGTCATTTCATCCCAATGATGATGGATATGGGGAGCCTATGGAGGCATGGCCTCAGTGAACCAGAAAAGGTTCATAGACTGTGCTCTGGGTCAAGAAATCCGAAACAGGTACCTGGGTCCAGGTTCCCCTCACCTGTGGCAGATGGGAAAACAGGCCCAGGGAGAGAAGGAACTTGCCTCAAGTCATACAGCAAATGAAAGGAAGAGCCGGGGCCATAAGCAAGGCCTCCTGACTCCCAGTCAGGAATAATAGCAACAAAAATATCAATAACAACAGTATTTAGTTCTAGCGCTTATTATGGGCCAAGCACTGCACTAAGTGATTTATGTTCATTACGTATTTACTTTAGCTACCTATATATATTTCAAAAATGACTTTGCATAATCTAATTTAATTCACCAGTTAAGTGCTTATTATTGGCCCCGTTTTACGGATGAGGAAATGGAGGATCAGAGGCATTCAATAACACTGCCAGTAAGTGGCAGAGCTCGAATTCGCAGGCAGGCCTCCATGGCTCCAAAGCCCACGACTTTGAATTCGTTCCATGAATGTTGAACGGCAGCCTCTCTGAGTTGGTGGTTCTGTTGCAAGGACTTTAGAGGAAGGAGAAAATGGAAATGGAAAAGTGGAGGCATATTTAGACCTTAGATGTAGTCATCTATGTTTTTTTTTCTCTCTCTGCTATTTTGGGCCCTGGCAGAAAACCAGAGAGGTGTGTGGCAAGGAGCCGTGGGAATGCGAGGAAGAGGAACTGGCTGAGATCCTGGTGAGTGAGCACTGGCCCTGACAGATACCAAGTGCAGGGTGTACTCCAAGTAGGAGCAGGGGTTTCTCTGCAAAGCATGGCCCTTGCCACTCAGACCCAGGACCAGGACTGGGACCAGGATGGTGCTGAGGGAGGACAGGGAGAGACCCAGGAACACTTCATGTGCCCTAGTCACTTGACACCCATCCTTTCCACAGCAAGGAGAGCTGCCAGATGCAGAGAAATATGAAATTAATAAATTCCACTTCAGCGACTTGCCCCTGACAGAACTAGAGCTGGTGAAATGTGGGATACAGATGTATTATGAGCTCAAAGTGGTGGATAAATTTCACATTCCGCAGGAGGTAAGGTCAAAACGAACCTCTGATTCCCCTTTTGCTTGTTTGCTTTTCTCCCTTTTTAAACTCGATCTGTCAACTTAAACTCAATCTATACTTAAAAAGAGTATATACCTTTGGCTTTTAGGATTTAAAGCATTAGTCATGTGCCACAGATGAGTCATTTATCAAAAGAAAACATACACAGTGCCTCTGAGCTGTGGTGTTTTTTGGGGTCATTGGCTTCTTGCAGTGGGTTCTCAGGCACTGAGTTTGAAGGCTGTCGAGTGCATAGGATGCAAAAAAAGGTCCTAGGGCCAAGCAAGGCTGGAAATGTGGTTAAATCCATTTAAAGAGGACTTTTCCCCTGCAGGATCCCTTACTGTGTTCTGTGAATCTGGGGGGATGAGGGGTGGACACAAAAGGTGGAGGTGGGGTATACTGTGTGCAGAATTTCCCAGACTTGTTGGATTCAGGCAGCGGTTCTCAAAGTATTGCCTCAAACCACTTCAGCACCACCTGAGAATGTATCAGAAATGCAAATTCCCTCTCTTTCTCCCCCTCTCAACCCCAGCTCTAAGGAATCAGAAACTGTGTGTTTTAACAATCTCTCTGGGTGACTGCCATGTACACTCGTTTGGGAGCCACTGATTTAAAGCCCACTTTCGATTTCTTTTCCTGAAAAACTATCAGGACAGTAGCTGTCTTGGGCACTGTTTGGGAATCACTGATGAAGCTCAGTTGGTGGAATAAGTGGAGTGACTCACGTCTCCCTGGTTTTTATAACGTCCGTTTCCACATATTTAGTAGTTTGCAAAGTGCTTGCACAGCATTATCTCATCGATTGCTAGTTTGCGGCTCCTGTTAGAGGCGGGGCGGTGGACGCCTGGCGGGCGTGCGCTGCCTCACTGATGTGCTTGTGTTCACAGGCCCTGGTGCGGTTTATGTATTCCCTGAGCAAGGGCTACCGCAGGATCACCTACCACAACTGGCGGCACGGCTTCAACGTGGGGCAGACCATGTTCTCCTTGCTGGTGGTATGGCGTGGGGGCGAGGGGAGTGCAGTGGCTGGGGCTCCCGCCATGCCAGACAACCTCCTGCAGCTTCACACAGCAGCAGCGGCATTGTTCTTCTATTTGCTGCTTTAAAAAAGAAAAAAAAACATGCAAAAAGAGTACATGCTTAGCATAAAGGCATCCCAAGAAGAGAGAAGCATATAAAAGAAAAAGTTAAAGGAAACTGCAGTCTACCCCCACACCCAGTCCGGTTATTTGGAGATAACCCTGGCACAACTCCTTACAAATTTTCTTCTAGAAGCATCGAATCATATTTGTACACACACACACACACACACACACACACACACACACACACACATACACACACACACTTTATTTTATTTATCACCAATTGAATCATATTATTCTACAATATTATTCCTTCATTTGAAAATATATAAACCCCATTCTTTATACATTTTTTAATGTGGTAAAATATACATCACATAAATTTTATTATCTTAACCATTTTTAGGAGTAGAGTTCAGTGGCATGAAGCAGGTTCACAGTGTTGTACCCGCCATCACCACTTTCCAGAACTGGCTCATCTTCCCAAACAGAAACTCTGTCCTCATTAAGCAAAATTTCCGCACACCCCACTCCCCAGCCTCTGTGGGCCGCCACCATTCTCCTTTCTGTGCCTATCAGTCTGACTACTCCAGGTACCTCGTATAAATGGAATTGTACAATATTTTTCCTTTTGTGTTTGGTTTATTTCACTTAGCATGATGTTCTCAAGGTTTATCCATTGACATCATTTTATAGGCTGCCTAGTATCCTGTATTGTTGAAATATACACTAACTTCTTTACCCGGCCCCTAATGTTGGACATGGGGGTTGTTTTTGATCTTTCACTATTTCCAACAGTGCTACAGTGTCCTTGGCTGGACATATTTATGTGTATTTGCTTTCATCTTTTTGGCTCAGAGGGTTCAGAGTCCTTTGCATTTCATTTAAAACTGTTTTCCCATCCAGGTTATGATGCAAATCTCTGTTCTTGCCTCCTTGCCCAGATTCCTTATCTGTATTCCTCTCTCGTGGCTGGAATGGTCTGGCCAGAGTAGGTCCAAGAGCCTGGAGGCAGGAATTCTGGGCAGGCCACCATGGAAGGTGACAGTGACACCGCTTAGACCTGACTTATTTCTTAGAGTCACATAGGCAGCATCCCCTCTCCAGGGCTCTTCACCACCCTCCAACACCCAGCATAAACAAGGACTTAAGTGTCTGAAGGAGGCTCAGGGAAAGGTTCATTCTGGGCTGTGTTTAAACCGTAGCTTTACCAGCCTGGCCATGTTAAAAAACCTTCCAAATTCTATAACCTGATGGCTACAAGTTTCTCAACAATCATCTAGTCCAATGTCCTCCACCTCCAGTATACAGATTGGGATACTGAGGCTCAGAGAGAGATGGGACCAGCTATGGTCACTCAGGAGTAGGGTGACCCATCATCCCCGTTGGCCTGGGACCATCCCAGCTCTAGCATGGAAAGTCCCACATCCCAGGCAAATATCTGGTCACCCTGTGGCACCAGGGGTAGGGCCAAGATCAGATTTATGTTTCCAAGCTCTAGGCCCTTCCCTCACCTGCTCTCTCAGCCCTGATCCCAACCCCCCACAAGAGAGGAGTGAGTGGCACCTCTGATTGCCCTTCCAGACTGGAAAGCTGAAGCGATACTTCACAGACCTGGAGGCCTTGGCCATGGTCACCGCTGCCTTCTGCCATGACATTGACCACAGAGGCACCAACAACCTCTACCAGATGAAGTGAGTAAGCCCTTACCAGCCCCCCTCCCAACCTCCCATCCCCCAGGTTCATTACCCAAATCTGAACAGCTCCCAAACAGACTCATTGGTCAGGGGGAAGTCCTGTTGTTCACAGCTTTCACCACTTCCTCCTCCCCTTTGGATCTGGGTAAACTCCCTCAACAAACAGAATAATGACACCCAAATATGTCCATGACCCAGTGCCCAGAGCCTGGGAATACATTGCCTAACATTCAAAAGGGACTCTGAAGATGTGATTAAGTGGAGGATCTTGAAATACAGGGATTGTCCTGGATTATCTGCATAAACCCCATGTAATCTGAAGGGTCCTTATAAGAGGTCAGAGAGGAAAGAAGATACTATTGGGTTGTTGGAAAAGTCATGACGTATTTTGTCTATGTTTCTCAAAGGTAATTTATTTATATAAAGGACAAAGATCAAACAATGATATATTGCTCGTTTTGTTTGATAAATTTTTGCCATCTTTCAATGAGCTTCATAATTCCTCGTTCATAGAGGACCTGTCTTTATTTGCGAAAAACTGAATAAGGTGCTGATTTACAGCCTCATCTGAATTGAACGTTATACCATGAAAGGAGTTTTGAAGAGAGCGAAACAAGTGGAAGTCTGACAGTGCAAGGTCAGGTGAGTATGGTGGGTGTAGCAACACATCACACCCACGCTCCAATAATATTTGACAGGTGATCATACTTGTGTGTGGTCTTGTGTTGTCACAATGGAACACAACTCCTTTACAATTAACAAGCTCTGGACGTTTCTGGATGATGGATTCATTCAAACTGTCCAACTGCCGACAGTACACATTTGAATTGATTATTTGGTTCCTTGGTAGGAGCTTGAAAAACTTGACACCTTTAAAATCCCACCACACTGAGAGCATAACCTTCCTCTGATGAATGTCTGCTTTCAATGTGGTTTGAGGCGAATTATCACATCGGGACCAAGACCATTAGTGCACCACATTGTTGTAAACAATCCACTTCTCATCACCAGTTATCAGTCACTTCAAAAAAGGATTGTTTTCCTCACATTTAATGAGCATATTGCAGATGTTTATACGTGCCATCAAATGAACTTCTTTGAGGTCATGCGGAACCCAAATATCGAGCTTGCTTTCATATTCCAGCTTCTTCAGGTAGTCACACTTAAATGATGGATGTTCAATGTTTCTGCAATCTCTCATGTCATGTAACATGGGTTTGACTCAGTTAATGCCTTTATTTTGTCATCATCAACCTTGGTGGGCCTCCCTGACAGAGGAGCGTCATTGAGATCAAAATCACCAGCACAGAATTTTATGAACCATCATTGGTACTGACGTTCTTGTAGAGCCTTGTCACCATAAACTTTATGCAATTTTTCATAAGCTTGACGCGCGTTCTTCCCATTATGGAAGTAAAACAGTAAAATATGGCAAAATTGCACAGTTTGGTCTTCCATCTTCAACTTGTAAAATCTCCAAAACGCAACCAAATTGATCAATTTTTTTTTTAGAATGAAGCTAGAACTGTCAGCTGTCAAATGACATAGCAATAACATAGATGCGAATGATTCTAGTACTTCCAAAAATGAACTAGTGCCATCTGTCACAAACATGCATCATGACTTTTCCGACAACCCAATACACTGCTGGCTTTGAAAATGGGAGATGAGCCACAAGCCAAGGAATACAGGTAGTCTCCAAAACTAGAAAAGACAAGGAAACGGATTCTCCCCTAGCATCTCCAGAAAGGAAGACGGCCCTGCAGATCCATTTTATACTCTAAATTCCAGAGCTGTAAGATAAATTTTTATTGTTTTAAGCCATTAAGTGTGTGATGATTTGTTATAGCAGTAATAAGAAACTAATGTATTAAATTCCCTCACTCTTTTCCTTCCCTTCCTACCTACCTGCTGAACTATTGGGTCATCGGGAAAGTCATGACGCATTTTTGCATTGAAAAACATAGAAAAATACGTCATGACTTTCCCAATGACCCAATAATTTAAGCCAAGGTGTTAGTAACTGATAATGGCTCATTCATTCACCTTATATAGATAATATTCCTAATGTATGGGATGCCCTATGCTAGGCAAAGGAGGTACCACGGTGAGCAAAACACAGTCCCTGTCCTCACAGAGCTTATATTCCAGACAACCCCTGAAGCATAGTCCTTGAACCATGGTCTTGGTGGGCCCTCATGACTACCTTGTGGGCTGGGCAGAGCAGGGACTAGTGTTACAGCCATAGTACAGATGAGAAAACTGAGGTTCTGCCCAAGGTCCACAGCCTATAAGTCATTAACAAGCACTAGAACATGCTTCTCTGCGTTTTCTCAATATGTGCATGTTTCTCCAAGGCTAGAGATTGTGTTTACAATGAACCTTGTGAGAAGCTCAGTGCTTGGCACATAGTAAGTGCTCAACAAATATTTATTGAATAAAGCCAAGAATAAATAAACACCTTGTAGGGAATCAGTGCCTTCCCCTAAGGCTCAGGTATGGAGGATCTGGGGGTTGGTGATCTATAAAGTATGGCCTAGTGCCAATGTCCACAGATGGCTGTAGGGAATACATAAATCTCTAAAGTTGCATTTGGCATCATGTATGTTTGCGCCTTTTTCTGAGGATAAGCGTCCACACTATTCAATAGATTCTCTGGGGAGTGAATGACCCCAAAGAAACCCTGAATCAGTTATGGAGAAAGCTAAACCTGAGAGTCCAGAGACCTGATATAGTCCTAGTTCCCACTCACTCACTGTGTGACAAGTTCCTTCTCTCTCCTGGACTTCAGCCTCTCTGTGTGCAGAATGAGGCGGTGGCAGGACTGAAGGATGTCTTTAACCTTCATCTGGGCCATTTCATGTGGATTTTCTCTCTCTCGGTGTCTCTCTCTTCTCTCCCATTCAGATCCCAGAACCCCCTGGCCAAGCTCCATGGGTCCTCCATCCTGGAAAGACACCACTTGGAGTTTGGCAAGACACTGCTGAGAGATGAGGTAGACTAACGGCCATCTGCACTGGCTTTGGGACTGCACAGGAGCCCCCATTTCACATAAAACCTGAGTGCGGCCAGGCAGTTCTTTTCCCATTGGCCTGGGCTGCCTCTCCCATCATCTGGGGTGACCACTGGTAGTTGGGTGATTTTACTGCCAACATCACTTCTCACCTCTCTTCTATGGTTTTCTCTTTAGGGCCTGAATATCTTTCAAAACCTCAATCGCAGGCAGCACGAGCATGCAATCCACATGATGGACATAGCCATCATTGCCACAGACCTCGCCCTGTATTTCAAGTTGGTATTCTCATTTGAAGAATAAGAATAACAATAGCAATGATTATAATAATAACAAGCACTGTAGTTCCAATTGATTTAATATGGACTCCATGCCAAGCACAACCCTTGTGCTATGGGCCATTAACTCTCATTACAACTCTGTGAGTTAGACATTATTACTCCAGTTGTATAGATGGGAAGCTAAGAACCACAGGAAGAGGTTTGCTAAGATCAGATAACAAGCACATGACAGAGCCTGGGTTAGAAACCAAGGCCTTCACTCCCTTGGTTCTTTGAACCGTGGTTTGTTAATTACGTTGTTTTAATAAGTTCCTGTCTGAGACAGCCAATGTGAGAAGCCCGGGTGTTGCCTTATTCTGAGATCTGCTCCATTAACAAACTGGTGCGTTTTGTAGGAAGAGGACAATGTTCCAAAAGATCGTGGATCAGTCTAAGACATATGAAACTCAACAGGAGTGGACGCAGTACATGATGCTGGAACAGACACGGAAGGAAATTGTTATGTGAGTTGAGATGGGGCTTAAATCCCAGTGACAGAGCCTGTTGTCCTCAAGAGACCCCTGGGACGCTTTCCATTTTGGAGGCGTTTGACCTATAAAAAAAATGAAGTTATGCCAAAACAAAACTGCACAAATTATGGTATCTGTTTAATCTTTACTGTAGCACTAAAATTCATGGCAATATATTATTATAGTTCTCTGTATACAGAAAGCATATCATTGGAAGTTTTTCTATTATAAAATTCAGAATTTTGGTGGTAAAGTGATGTCACTTAAAAGTTGTTGATAAAACACAGAGCATTTTACCAATGATGATTTGAATGATAACTATGTGTCACTCAAAATGTGTAAGTTTAATTTTTTTTTTCGCGTTTCTTTCTATATAGCAATATCCTGCAATAGAGCTGTGCTATTCACAAATTAGTTACATGATTTATATAAAATGTACAGTGCCTTGTTGGCATGAGGTCCAGTAATGGGACTCAAATTTAAGTTTTCTGGTGAAAATCTTTCACTTCTCTCAATGTGCTTCCATGACTCACCTCAATCGACGATGGAGTGGGAAGTGTACATTTGAGGCCTTTTGTGACTATGTGGCCCAAGCCAGATGGTCCCCTGGCTCCCCTGTGATAGGTCCCCTAGGTGTTGATGGTCAGGGGAGACAAGGCCTGACCCAGTTCCCAAGGAAGTGTCCCAGATGCCTCTGTGAAGATTAGGTTTGGTTAAGTCACAAGTGTTGCAAGTCTCCGGAACACAGAAGGAGTGGCCGCTGGGACAGGTCCAGGGAAGGAGGGGCTAATGGCAAGTTGTCCTTCCCTCAGCTTTGCAGTTGTCCAGCCGGGTCTCCACAAAGGTCCCTTGGTCCTGAGATGCACTGCGCCCTGCCCCCACTGAAAAAGGGGGCACACTCAGGCTACAGCTGCTCCCAGGCAGACCAGGGGCTGCCCCATCGAACAATTCAAAATGGAAATGTCCGTCTGAAGCAGAAGAATTGAACAAGTGGAAAGAATGCCACGTTCTTGTGTAGGGGGACTTAATGTTAAATGTTGTCTATTCCCCATAGCTAATCATTCATGTAGTTTCAAGGAAAAATTCTACTTTATTGCTGGGATAATTAGGAAACCAATTCTAAAATTCTTATGGGAAATAAGTATGCAAGAATAGCCAGAAAATTCTGACATAGGAGAGTAATAATAGGGACCAGCAGAACTAAAGGCAGTTCAGTCCTAGGCATGAGTAGGACAGGTGAATGGGACAGACCTGAAAAACAACGCCTGTGCTAAAAGCGGATTGTATACCAGCGGAGAAAGGGATTAAGTTCGTGTGTTGGAAACTGGGATGATCTGATGAGTTTTTTTCCAGCACCGCCAAGCAATTCTGTAATTCTCAGTGGACACTGACTGGGTATCCTACAAATTTAACTCACTTCTGACACTATCTACCCGGAGATAATGTCAGATCCCACAGCTTAAGGGCTCAGTCCCACAGATTGGCCCCACTTCAGATACGAATCCCAAATCAAGGTTGTTACCTGTGATTCTGACCACCTGGTTATAAATTGGAAGTTCCCATGACCCCTTCCTTGGGTTTAGTTAAATTGCTAGAGTAGCTCACAGCTCTCAGAGAAACATTTACTTAAATTTACCAGCTTATTATAAAGGATATTATAAAGGACACAGAAGAACAGCCAGATGAAGTTACATATGAGGTCAGACAATCAAGTTTGCGAGCTTGTTGCAATGATTTTGCTAACCTTTTTTTGATACCAGAGGGATTATTCATTAGGAATTTGTACCAACTGGACAAACAGTTAACCAAGTTTACTATTTGGAAGTGCTGAAAAGACTGTGTGAAAAAGTTAGACGACCTGAGCTTTTCACCAACAATTCATGGCTCTTGCATCATGACAATGCGCCAACTCACACAGCACTGTCTGTGAGGAAGTTTTAGCCAGGAAACAAATAACTGTATTGGAACACCCTCCCTACTCACCTGATCTGGCCCCCAAGGACTTCTTTCTTTACCTGAAGATAAAGGAAATATTGAAAGGAAGACATTTTGATGACACTCAAGACATCAAGGGTAATATGACGACAGCTTTGATGGCCATTCCAGAAAAAGAGTTCCAAAATTGCTTTGAAGGGTGGACTAGGGGCTGGCATCGGTGTATAGCTTCCCAAGGGGAGTACTTCGAAGGTGACCATAGTGATATTCAGCAAGGAGGCGTGTAGCACTTTTTCCAGGATGAGCTCGCGAACTTAACTGTCATACCTGATGGAGTATCATGATGGAGTTGAGTAGTCGCAACAGAAACTACTGTGGTCTGCAAAACCTAAAATATTGACTATCTGGCTCTTCACAGAAAAAGTTACCAGCTCTTGGTCTAGTGTTTTTCAAATGAGAAACGTGAGGCGCGGAGAGACAAAGTGACTTACCTAGTGTCACACAGGCCTTGGTGGAGCATCAGGGACTGGCACGCACGTCACTCCACCCCTCTCCTGCACACCCACCGCTTTCTCAGGCTCCCTTAGGCCTTCCCCCCACCCCCCCCAAAAGGCCACACCCTCCAGGCTAGTTGCAATTCCAGGGAGTGCCTGAATGCCTGAGTAGGTTGGCTGGGAGGCTTTTATCAGGGGTCAGGGAGAAGTGCCGCTGGCTGCACTTCTGAGTTGAAGAAGCATTTGCCCTGGGGATGGGTCAGGTGAGCAGTAACTGAGCTTGTTTTGGTCAGCCAGCTCTATGCACCTAGGCACTTCCTACAAATATCAGCTCAAGGTCATTTCCTCAGGGAAGCCCTTGCTGACCTCCCAGACCTACGTCTGTTTTTCTTAGATTATCTCCTAGAATAGAACTCCTTTCCTTCAGAGCAGTTATTTGTTTACATGTTTGCATTCATTTATGCGATCAACATGTGACTCCCCAGCGCGTCTGCAAGCACTCTGAGGGCAGGGACCCTGTGAACCAGCCCCTGCCTGGCATCTGGCATGCATTGGATGGATAGATGAAGGCTCCCTATGGTCACCTTGTGGATGGCCCTCTGTCTTGTGGCAATCCCAAGTATTCCTGCTGCACATTTGCCAACTATACCTTTTCTTCTCCGTTCTCTTGGAGAGCTCCTATGCACCCCTCAGAGTCCTGCCCCACTGGCATCTCTTGGAAGCCCCCTGAGCCAGGCTAGTTGCTCTCATCTTTTTATTATTATTTTTTCTTTGCACCTTGTACTTCTCTCTGCCATCCCACTTAGCATATTGTGATGAGAATTTTTTTGTTCTCTATTCCTTGACTGACCGCGAGCTCCCTGCGGGCCTCTCTGGATCCCCAATGCCTAGCGTGGCACCTTGGCCCCAGAGCACGTAAAGGGATGGTGCTGAAGTCAATGTCATGCGTTGTCTTTAGGGCATGAGGCTTTGGACTGGTTTTTCTGGTACCCAGGTGTCCCACACACCAGATCTCTGTCTACAAAACATTTAAGATGTGTTTCCCCAACTGCTGGGGTGATTTTCACATGATCTGTCCAGACAAGGAAAGTAAACATCCAGTGTTGTCCTGAAGCCACACCTGTGGACTTCAAATATGGACACTGAGAGGTAACAGGGAGCCAGTGATGCTTGTGCGTGTAGCTGAGCATTCATTTCCTTAATCTATTTGACAGTATGCGTAACGTGTGTGCAACACTTAACCTTCAGCACAGGGCACATATTCTGAAGTTATTACAAAGCATAAAAGTGTTTCTAAGAAAGGTATGCATTTCTGAAAGCTTATTTACTTAAAGAATCCTACGAATTTTTGAGGGTTTACTTAAAGATATTTAAACCTGGTAATATTTCGTAAGGAATCCTTCAGGCCTCCCAGACCAGCTCATGTAACCTATGCCAGAGACAGCTGGTTAGTTGTAAAATCATCCAAGCCGCTAGTCAGGTTCTGAGCCCACCTTCTCCAATTATATCCCCTCTCTCCGGCCCCGCCCATCGGCCTCACTGAGTCTGGATGGCACTACAGGTGGGTTGACCCCACCTTCTCCCCGCCTGTAGCCATTGCTGCGGGTTGGGCCTTGCTGCTCTCCTGCCTGAGTTACTGCAGTATCTCCCCTTCTTCCTTCCTACCCTCTCCATCCTCCAAGTGCTGCCAGCCTGCCTTCCTGCAGCACCGCTCTGAAGAGGTAATGACCAGCTCCTAAAGCTTCAGTACCTCTCCACGGTCACTGGATACAGCCTACACTCCCCAGCTTGGAATTAACACCAACACTGTGTGGCCCTGGACTCCGGTCCCAGACAGCCATGCGACTACGCACCCTGGCTCTGCAACACCTTCTCAAATTCCTATCTCTTGCTGCAATTCTTTGCCTGTCTCCTCCCTTTCCGTCTTATATTGTATATAGTTGTGTAATAATACCTATCTTACCTACCTTATATAGTACCGCCCTACCTGTGTAATAATACCTCTTACCTTCCTTGTATTGTGAAACTCCTTTAAAAGTTTACTTCTTTTTAAAAATTTCATCAGGTCACTTTTTTTTTTTTAATTGGGGAATTGGAGGAGGGGAACAGCGTTGGGAAATTGGGGAAGGGGAACAGACAAGTTGCTGTCCTTTTTGTTCTTCAGTCTAGTTGTGGAGGACGTTGCTTCACTGGCCCAAGTTGGCACCATCATTGCGCTCTTCCTGGGTGAGGCAGATCAGTCGCTGGCTTCTGGACGGCTGCTCACGGTGGCTGCTGGCCGCTCATGCTGGCTGCTGGCTACACATGGTAGCCCAGCTCCAGGTTGAGCTGTTGTTCAGCATCTTAACTGTAGAGGGCAATGTCACTGGCCCTCATATGTGGGATCTGAACCAGGGCCCTCTGGCATCCCAAGCCAGCATTTAACCAACATGCCACTCGGCCGGCCCATCAGGTCACTTTTTTGTGTCAACATTTTACTAGGAACACTTTCCAGACATACAGAGAGTTGAAAGAATTTTATACCCACCATCCGGTTCCATCATTAACATATTACTATCAATTCATCCCTTCAGCTGTCTGTCAATCCAGCTTATTCTGGGGATGCATTTCAAAGTAAGTTGCAAACATCTGTGCACTTCCCCCTAAATACTTCAGCATGTATATCATTAACTAGAGGTCAGTATCTGTTTATAGACCTTTTTTTTTCCTTTTAAGGTAAACTGTACCTTCAATGAAGTGCACAAATCTTAAGTGGGCCATTTATGAGTTTTGACAAATCCTTCCTCTACTTCTAAACACAAGGCTTTCTCACAGTGACTAAGCCACACTTCTCCCCATGCCCAATGGCGAAAAAGTGGTTCTTGGAAGAGGAGCAAAAACTCTTAGATGTTACAATGGTTTTTGGCCCTCCAAACAGATATATGGTGTGTCTGTGGTATTAAAATTGCTTGGTGGAGTGATTGTAGAAAAAAAGGTCTACGTGGGGGAGAATGATGAGAAAAAGGCTGAGAAACATTGTTCTATACTAGACAGGAGGAAAGGAACTCTGAAGATGTGATAAGATTTAAATGAAATTGATGTTTATGAAATGCCTAGAACAGTGTGTGGCATATAATAAAAACCCAATATCCGTTCATGTTAAGCACCAATATTTATTGTGCACATACTATGTCCACTCACTATGCTAAGATTTTTACACACATGATCTCATTTAACCTTGCACCCACTCCATGCAGAAAGTGGCATTATTATTGCAGACAAGAAAACTGAGGCTTAGAGAGGTTGGTTTAATTGTCCGATGTCAAACTCCTGGTAATTGACAGAGGCAGGATTTAGTAAGTCTGTCTGCCTTCAAAACCCACCTCCAGGTGAACTAGGGAAGTGACCCCTCTCCTCACAATGGGGTGAGGTCACTTACTAGTGGGGTCAGAGACAGGGGAAACCGATGGAATTAACCGGTATGTGCAGCCTTACAGTGACTCTGGACTGAGGCTGGTGTCCTTGTGTCCAGGGCCATGATGATGACCGCCTGTGATCTCTCAGCCATCACCAAGCCCTGGGAGGTGCAGAGCAAGGTATGGACTCTTCCTGACCCAAGAGGAGGGGAATTCCAGCACTGGTGACAACAGCTAAGGTGGCTTGGACTCTCTCGCTCCAGAAAAAGCCCACTTTTGCTCCATCCTCCTCTGCCAAGGCTTGGATACCACTTTAAGACTTCTTCCCATGATGACAAGAAAATGGGGGTGGTAGGGCAGGGGTAGGGTTCATGTTTTTGCTGAGCTGGAAATCCAAGTGGGGTGGGAACAAGGGTAGGAGGGTTGGAGCTGGGGCTTGACTCTGGGGGGGGGGGGGGTGTCTGCCTGTTGCAGGTGGCTCTGCTGGTTGCTGCTGAATTCTGGGAACAAGGTGATCTGGAGCGCACAGTGCTACAACAGAACCCCATTGTGAGTAAAGTGGGGACGTGACATTGGGTGTGTGATCTCATCCTGAGGGAGAGCTGTGACCTTGCCGTGACAGAGGTGTGCACTCCAGACATAGAGATGTATGATCTTACCCTAGAAATGACCTTTCCCTAAGGCAGGAGTTCTCAATGTATGGTCCCCAGACCACATCAACTTCCTCTCTTGGGAACATATTAGAGATGCAAATTCACGGGCCACACCCTAGACTTACCCAAGCAGAAGCTCTGGAGGTGAGCCCAGGAATGTGCCCTCCTAGAGTTTGGGAACCCTGATGTAATGTGTGTTTCCTTAGCTCACTGAGCTAAGTAGAAATTGACAAATGGACACCAAAACTTAGATTTCCTTTTGAGTTCCGACAGTTCGGGAGCCCACCTCCCAACGCTGTGTTGTCACAGCGCAGGGTGTACAAGGGGAAGGGAGGACCTTATTAAGCTGAGAACCTTTCGACAATGAAAGTTAACATGACTGGACTCCACTAGACACAGTTAGAGGGTTCACAGAGCACCCTGCACTAAGGCGGGACTAGAAGTAAAGGTGGAGTAAAAGGGGGAAACATTTTGGGGACAGAACCATGGATATGGGGCCAAGCTAAATCTGTGAAGTGCTAAAAATGCTGGGGTACCACTTGAGGCTCAGGCAAGGCCCGAGGGACAGGGACAGGCTGTGTGGGGGGGGAACAAGTCTCCTGATGAACAGCAAGGGCTGTGGAATTTGTGGTTCTCATCTTCCTTTTAACACTTTAAAATGTAGAGAGAACAGTTAATGAACTCTGCGCACCCATCAGCCAGATCCAACCATTAGCAACAGCCTGTCCTTCTTGTTTTTTTAAATTTTATTTTATTATTATTTTTTTTTAGCTGAGCCATCCTGCTACCTGTTGGCAGCTCAGTGGCTGCTCAGCTCGGACCAGAACTCAAACCGCTGTTGCTCAGAGCTCACACTCTTGAGCGAGCTCTTAACCAACTGAGCCACTTGGCTGGCCCTCTGTCCTTCTTGTTTTATCTACTCCCCCCTCCTCATGCATTTTTTAATCTTTTGGCTAAAGTATTCTAAAGTGAATCCCAGATGTTGTCATTTCTTCCACAGATACTTTAGGATGTATCTCTAAGAGGTATGAACTTAAAACACACACAATCACAATACCATTATCACACTCACAAAATTAATAATAATTCTTTAACATCACCCAATCCTCCATCTCTGTTCATTTTCCCTGATTGAGTAATAAAAATAATTTAGTTTGATTTATTCAAACCAGGATTCGGATCAAGGACCACGCTCCCTCTGGTAGTTACGGCTCTTCATTCTCTTTTCATCAGTAGCAGTTTCCTCCTCCTCTTTCTGTTTTATTTTTATTGGTTTGGTTTTTTTTTTACACCATTTACTTGTTGGAGAGGGTAGGTTTTCTGTTGTCTGGTTTCCTACGTTCTGAATTGACTGACTGTACCCTTGTGGTGTTTAATATATTCCCTTATCTCCATATTTTCTGTAAACTACTAATCAGATCTGGAAACTTGACGAGTTTCAGGTTTGGTTTTTTGTTTGTTTTTGTTTCTTTTTTTTGAGCCAGAATGCTTCATAGGGAGGGCGGGTCCACCTGACTGCACCATGCCAGGGGGAGTCCAGCTCAGTTACCGTACTTCCCCATGTATAAGACACACCCCTTTTCAAAAAATGTGGGGTCTAAAAACTGGGTGTGTCTTATACAGTGGTTGTAGTTTTTTTTTACTTGCATTTCCCGCTTCCCCTCCCCGCCCCCCCCTGCACTCATACAACCGCTGTATAAGACGCACCCAGTTTTTAGACCCCACATTTTTTGAAAAAGGGTGTGTCTTATCCATGGGGAAACACGGTAACTCTTTCTCCCTTTTGACAGCCCATGATGGACAGAAACAAGGCGGACGAACTCCCCAAGCTTCAGGTCGGCTTCATTGACTTTGTTTGCACGTTTGTCTACAAGGTGGGTCTTTTGCTTTCTCCGGCCCAAGCGTTTGTGTTTAATAAACCCGAGTATTGGGAATAATAACCCTGGCAAGTGAGCAGTGGGTAGTGTTTTACAAAGTGCTTCTCATCTGCCATGACAGTCCTCTGGGGTCTTGTGTGGTGGTATACCCAGGCCAGGGACACATGACAGCCTGGGTTCAGACAGGGAGGCGGGACGCATAGCAGACACATGCCCTCCTAACTTCCCTAGCCGGTAGAAATGTGACAGACAGGTCAAAGTGACTCAGTTGTCAAAAGGCACTCTGGGATTTCTCTTTGAGCGCTTGCTCAAAGTTAACGTCTCCCTCTGGAGAAACCCAGCGCTCTGGATTCCATGTTATCTGTACCCCCATCCACCTCCCATTTGTTGTTTTTACTTTGACCACGTTACACATGAGGAGACAGAGGTCAGAGATGAGAAAGGGCAGGGCCAGGGTCGCTGGTGTCAGCCACAAGACAGGGGTAGAGCCAGGACGCCTGACCCCCAGTCCAGGGCCCTTTCTGCTGTGTGAGCTGCAGCCCTTGTTAGGGAGACGTGCAGATGCTCCCAGAGGAAACACAAGTGCCTCTCGGATACAACACAGCCTAATGGGGTTCCCCTGAGCAACAGAGCAGAGTAGCTGCTGCTCTCCACTATCATTCAGTGACGTTATTAAACTAGGGAGGCTGTGCTGAGTGCTTTGCGTGTGTTACCACAACAGCCTTTGGGAGGTGGGTATGACATGGCTGAGGCGGAGCCCTGTACGTCACCGGCCCACGGTCATGCAGCTTGTGGCAGAGCCTGGATCTGCGGCTCTGAGCACAGCCGGCCCTGGATTGGCCGATCTTGTTTTGGGCACCTCTACTCCATCAATCTTCATCTCAACTCCCTCACCCCCAAATCTGGGAGCGACGAATGTTGTTTGTGCTCAAAGGCATTATTTTCATTCTTAGGGCTAAGAGAACTTAAGAATCCTCTTCGCAGCATCCTTATGTTTTGTATATGACAAAACGTATGGTTTTGTATATGATGTCCCTCAGCACATATTTACTGAGTGTCTGTGTGTCAGAAGAGGCTCCCCCAAGGAGGTGACGTCTAAATGGAGGCTTCAAGAGAAAAGAGGGGAAGTTAGAGTGTTCAGCCAACGGAAGAGCTTGTATGAAGCCCACAGAAGGCAGGATACACTCCAGCAATGGACAGAGATCTGGAATGCCGGGAGGGCTCAAGGTTGCCAAGCGGGGAGGGCACTGGGCCTGGAGGGGGTGGAAAACCATGTGAAGGAGTTTATGCTTCGTCCTGAAGGACAGGGGTTTCCACAGGAGGGTTTTAATCAGGAGAAGGATGGGATCTTGTTGACTGGAGGTCTCAGTGTCAGCACGCACACCGCTGGATGACGGGGAACCCTGCCACCCGCCCAGGAAGCTCATTCCAGGGTTGGATATTGCCAACTGTGCCTCCACCTCGCGCCCGGACCCTGGGCCGTGGTCCCTGCTCCAGAGGCTCTCTCTCTTCCAGGAATTCTCCCGTTTCCACGAAGAGATCACTCCCATGCTGGACGGGATCACCAACAACCGCAAGGAGTGGAAAGCGCTTGCTGACGAGTATGATGCCAAGATGAAGGCTTTGGAGGAGGAGAAGCAGAAGCAACAGGCAGCCAAGCAAGGTTCGTGAAAGCAGGGGGACAGGGCACCCCGAATCCCCACACTGAGCACTCAGGCTGTGCCTATAGCTTGACTTCAGATCTTCGCACACGGGGTCCTATTTAGGCCTTCCCACCACCTAAGACGGTGCCCGTTCTACACAGGAGGCCACTGAGGCTTGCAGAGGTGAAGTATTGTGGCTGAGTCACACAGTAAGTGGCAGAGCCTGTTTTCCAAAATCGAGGTTCCCAGCAAGAATTCCCTGATCGCCCCCAACCAGTGTAGGACAGATTCCAATTCCAAGGCTGTGGACATAGGGCCCTATTCAGGGACAAAGGAGAAAACCTAGAATTATTAATTGGAAGGAAATCTGTCTGATGTTTGAATCCCTTCTATTGGTTGTCAGAAAAGTCATGATGCATTTTTGCAATGAAAAACAGAAAAAAGATGTCATGACTTTTACGACAACCCAATATATCATCGTGAGCCTTTGCTTGCACACTACCAGTGATGGAGGGCTCACTACCTTACATGAAAGCCTCATTCTGTACCACAATTAGAAAGCTCTTCCTTGAATTGAAATTGTTCTGCTTGTTGAAACGTCCACCTAGTGGCCATAGTCCTACCTTCAGGAATCCAATGGGATTTGTTTGTTCTATTGTATCTCTTCCCCGGTGACAGCACACTTCCCCGTCTCCAAGCCCTTTCTATTACTGGCTGTGTTGCTCTAGTTCCCTCACAGGGCATGGCTTCTTGTCCCCTCTCCACTCTTACTGCCCTCCAGTGCACACCATCCCTCTACACGTGGTTTTAGCAGGGACGCTGTCAGGTCTCCAGCTCTGCTCTTGGTCTCAGTGGGGGGTGATTCTGAACTGGCAGCTGCAAATGTGGGGTCGCCACTTATGGTTTTGTAACCTGTGCTTTGCACAGCTCCAGGAGGTGCCCTACATAGTACAGGCATCACAGATTTGTATCATAATTACAATTTTCCAGAAAATGGCAGTAAAGTGTCCTGAGGAAGAAGTGTCTTTTTCTAATTTTCACACATTGTCTTATGGACTAGTGGCAGGTCTGTGCAAACTTACAGACCTCAGATGTCTTTTGTTTGGCCTGCATTTTTAAAATAGATATTTGCTGTCAACATTTGAAAGTGGGTATACTTAAGATTTTAAAAATCCAGAGTCCCAGCATTTCTTTTTAGATCAACACTAGTTGATCCAAACACTAGTTTTAGAACCACACTAGTCTGGGTTTTTGCATGGCAATAATTAGCTGGAGCCCAGTGGCAACTATCCTCTTTAGAAGGGACAGAGTCTCCCTCCAGTTTGTCACAGTCCCCACCACTCCCTGTTGTCTCCCAGACATTGGTGCCAAATGTTGGTTGCCATTTATCATGATTGTGCTGTTATTTTTTTTAGTGGAGAGAAACATTCTTGGTTTCTCTGATCCCCTTTATACTTGGCTTGCCTTCTGCATGTGTGATATCTGTTGGCCTCTGAAAGCCCTTGAATTTGCAACTGTTGGTTCACACCAGGGCAAAGGGGAAGCCCTCTGCAGCGTCCTCTCATCTGGTGTGTTCTCTTTCCTGTCTGATTGCAGCACCCGCAGGAAATCAGCCCAGGGGGAACCCCAGCCCAGGAGGGGACGCACCTGCTTCCAAGTCCTGCTGCATCCAGTAGCCCAACAGGGGACCTGCTGGTCAGAATGGCACCACCCTTCATGAGAAGAGATCGCCCAAACCGGTGGCAAGCTGCACACCTTCTTCAGAAGTAAAGGAGTCCTAGGATTTGAAAGCTGAATGAGAATTTAGCTTCCATCTTATCTAGTGGCTTTCAAACATTTTTATCAACCTTGAGAAATTTTATTGAGCTAAAACCAACATTCTAGCTTTCGTAAGCCTCAATTAAATATTTAGTTAATGCCAAACTCACCTGCTTGCTTAGAATCATTTTTGTTCTTACACTTCCATTTTGTATTTTATAAAAGTTTTTATTCTCAAAAGTAGAGAATTATACAATGAATCCCCACCCACCTACCACCCGATTCCAATATCGAGATGTTGCCACATTTGCTTTATCTTTCCTTTTATTTTTTTCAAATTTTTTCTTAGCTCACGTATTTAAAGGCAAATTCCAGACATATCATTTTACTCCTCCACCGCTAAAGACATACGGGCATTTTCTAACATAACCACATCATTATCACATGTAACAAATGGACCCCTAGTATCCAGGTGTGGTCGATGCTGTGATGAGCTGTCCAGACCCTTCCCGGAAGAGCGAAGGACTTGTGGCCCCAGCAGCTGTGAGCACTTTTGGCAGACAGCACTCAGTGTCAGCGCCTTTGGGGATTACCTCAGCTGCTTGGAGACACTTTGTCTTTTTTTTGTGTTTGTTTTTTTAGCTGAGCCATCCTGCCACCTGTGGGCAGCTCAGCGGCAACTCAGCTTGGGCTGGGAATCGAACTGGTGACCCAGTTGCTCAGAGCTTGCACTCTTGAGTGAGCTCTTAACCAACTAAGCCACTCGGCTGGCCCTTAGAGACACTTTGTCCAAGGTCAGCCCCTTTCCCGGGGTGGCCTGTATCCATTGACGGATCCATGGCAGGTGTTAGGGCCTGGTCATCTTGGCCCAACATGGGACAACTCTGCAGGGCCATTCTGGCTCCAGGACTCCTTGTGGGGTCCACCAAGGCTATCGTTTGGGCTCGCAGTGCAGTTCAGCTTCTCCCTCTGCCCACTCCCACTCCCTTCCCTTCCCTAGGCGTTGGTTCCAAGGGCACTCCTTAATAATTACCTGCAGACTGAGTCCACTGCAGAGGTTGCTCTCTACGGAACCCAGCTTGTGACGGCAGTCCTTAGTCAACTTTCCCCCACTGTGGCAGCAATGTCTTTAATAGTTGGTTTGCTTGAATCTGAACACTTTTAGTGGGTATGTCTCTTAAGTCTCTTTTAATTGTAACAGCACTCCCTCCTCTTTTCTTTGCCAGTGATTTGTTGCAGAAACAATGTCAGTTGTCCCATATTCCAGATCTATCTGCTTGCTTCCTTGTGGTGGCAGATAACACGTCCCTCTGTCCCCTGTTCTCCTATAAGTGGGTGTTGACTCTGGTTGCTTTGAGGAGAGGGAATACGTGGTTTCTCCAAACTGTTTGTAAATCAGTGATCTACTTTAATCTCCCTTTTTAGATAAATGAGGAAACTGAAGGCCAGCAAGGGGACGGGCTGGGCAAAGTTCATGGCATGGTTCCCTTATTTCCCTCCAGAAGCAGATGCCCAAGCTTACCGGGAACACAGTGTACAGGGCACACGTCCCTGTGATTTCCACAGCAGATCAATCTGGACTCTTGACATGGGAGCCCTGCCCATATTTGCAGGTCACGTCATCAGCAGGGAGCTGGGTCTGGAAGTCTCATCTCTTAACTCTCAAGCTAGATATCTCTGTCCTCCTGAAATTGACACTCAGAGCAGTGGTTTTTTACGCCGAGGAATGTTCTCTTAGCATGCCCCATGTAGTGGTTAAGTGGCATGGTAAAGAGAAAAGTGTCCCCCAGGAACATACTGGTGATGCTGCTGGTCCCTTGGGCAGGTTCCCTCTGCTCTGCCTAGCTCTCAGCCTTACCCATCTGTCAAACGAGGGTCATACTCCTTGCTATGCCTCACAAGACTATGGTTAGCACCAAATGAGACCATGCATGATGAGGCTGGCACCTATTAAGTGCCTTTGATGTCCTAGGCACTGTGCATGATCTAATTTCATCCTTACAACAACCCTATAGGGTAGAAACTATTACTAGCCCCATTTATCACATGATGAGGAAGAGACTCAGAGAGGTTAAGAAACCTGCCCAAGGACCCTCAGCTGATAAACAATGGAGTCAGGACTCAAAGCAAAGAAGCCTGACACCAGACTCCAGGCTTGTAACCATTTTCCCTGCGCCATACTGCTTCTGAGAATCAGCTTTATTTAAGACCCTTGAGTTCATCTAAGCAAATCATCTTGTTTCATAGTTGGGGACGCCAGGGGCCAAAGAGGTGGATTGTCCGAGTTTGCACAATATAGAAGTGGCAGAGCTTGGTATCAAATGCAGGTTTTGAGGCTCTGAATCTCCCATTCTATTCCTTTGCACCACTGAATGCATTTTTGAAGAAATTATTTGTGACTTTGTGGCTTGGTTGCCTCCCTAGCTGTATGTAGTCATCAGGCCACAGATAGGAGCCTCTCTTGTCCATTCCGTAATTTCTGATTAATGGGGCTGGACACCGCCCTGCAATGGATGGAGAAGCAGTCTTACTCTCCTGGAGGTCACTGTCAGATCACTGTCAAGGGGGTGACAGAGACTGAGCAATGATCACACAGATAACCTCTCTGAGAACCCTGCTGCTAAGTGCAAACAACCCCATTCATTTTAAAGGAAGAATCATAGTGCATCCCCTTCCAACCAAAGAAATTCAAACAATTTCCAGATTGAAAAAAAATAAATTGCCCGAATAACAAGAAACTAGTTACTGTAGATAATAACAAGTTGAGAATAGTTTGCACATAATGTGAAATGGAATATCTTATTGTACGTGTTCTTATAATTTTCTTCACCAATGCTTTAACCGTCAGGGACACGTGGGTGTCTTGCACTCAGGCTGCACTTAAAAATACTAAACATTAAATAAAGCAGCTTCAGGGCAAAAGAAAGGCTAAACCCGAGTGCTGTGAAACTGAGGAAATACACACACCTCCAAGACTGAGTCATGGTAAATGCCACTTTGTCACTGCTATTGCTAGGAGAAAGTGAGCAAAGGAAAAACTCCTAGTTCACCCAAACATGGTGCACAATTCAAATCTGTTCTCTACCTCCTCTGACCGGAAGTTGCCTTAGCGTTGCAAATTGGGGTTTTTGCCTGAAACCATACTGTCAAAATGTCTCTTTCAGCATATTTACTTAGTGTGTTTATGTGAAAACGTGGATACACCAAAACAAGAGAGTCCTTGTTCAGAAAGTGGTATAGCTTTATAAAAGTCATGGTGAAAACCAGTAATGGGATATCTGTTATGTGAGGTTAAGTCTGAATGATTCATTATGAGCCATGAAAAGTGTGGCGAAGAGAGAAAAAGGGAGCTCAGAAAATTCTGGAGCGGTGGGGAACACACCTTAACCAGGGTCTTTTCTGAGAGGGTGACACAGAAACCAGAGTCCTTTTTCCAGTTCAGCAGAATGTCCCTCAACCAGCACACAGGACCAATAAAGACACATCTGGGCAGGGCGGTGGGTGGTATTTTCTTTTTAATCTCCATAGTGTATTTGTTAAGTTTATTTATAAGCAGATCACTTCACTATTTACAGTACATGAGCATAGAGATTCTACAGTTTTTGTGATGTAAACAATCACTCCACAGTGGGAGCTTGAGAAAAGAAGCCAGTTCTGAAGTATTTACAGACGTTAAAATAGAACTTTATGCTCACAGAATAATAATACATAGAGCAATTTGGTTAAATTATCTATGAAACTATAGAATCTGACAATGTACAAATACAGGAAAACATTTTCTCATTTAGAAGGTAAGACAGATAAATCACACCAGAAATAAAATAGGGACGATGACAACCACAATAATTAAAAGCAAGGAAGATTCCTTCCTGGCCTCTTACGGATAAAGTTATTTATATAAATAAGGACACAACCCAACAAAATGGAAAAAAATATATAAAAATCCTCTACCAATTAAAAAAAATAGCAAAACTAAAAACTCGATTCCCAATCATTAGCAGTGTCCTTTAAAAAATTAAAATTTAGCTTTCTATTATAAATAACAAAGCAGATGTGTCCCTCTGTGTAGGTGAAATTCTTGCACCTTTCTCAAGAAATGCATCAATGTAATTCCACACATACACACAAACACAGACAGGCATGCGAGCGCATGCACACACGCACGCACGCACGCACACACAGCCTTGCACTCGTGTACCCCAGGCTGTAGTTACCTTGTTGAGCTTCCTAATAAATAATGCCCCCTACGGGAGTACCCCTGGGGATGTCCAAACCTCACAAGGTTAGCCATTCCCTGGTTTGAACCCTGTCACAGAGCCAGGGAAAGCCCTGGCTTCCTATTGCTCAGAATTCTCTAGGCTGCTTAGTCACACCAAGAGAAAAAGATTTGAGTCCAAGATTTGGAAATGCTGGAAGGAACCGTAGGGACCACTTTGCCCAGTCAATTAAGGCTAGCTACAGAACCGTCTCTTTAGAAACCTGGGGCTGGGGACAGAGATCTTGTGTTGGTTTCAACATTAGCAGCTACCTCAGGAAGAAGCAGATGCTCAAAGCCAATGCTAATACCGTGGCACAAGGAGGTGAAGGGGGTGGGTGTGAATTTCTGGAGCAGATTGCACCAAGCTGGACTTCTGGATGGTTGTTTTTCCCCAGAAACCATCTGGAAATCCAAGTGGTCCACTTCCCTGTTCCGCTGACCACCCTGACCACACACCCCTTGAGATTTCCAACCCGTTTCCATCAGAATCAGAACATCCCTCAAGAAACAAAGTTGGGAATAGGTTATGACTTTTTATTCCTAACACAAAACACACTTGACAAGATTTTTAAATACAAAATATAGAAACAAAAACAAACAAACAACAACAAAAAAGTAACCTGTTTGGCTATTCGGTGGACCATATCAAAGGCCATGGCCAGCCCCCATTCAGAAACCTGACACCCGACCTCTCAGCTTGTCCCGATGGTACAGTGCAGGTCACCTAGCAGAGGTTCACTTAACAAGGTCAGCAGCTGGGCTGCCGGTATTGCAGTTACAGTAAACCCCTCTCGGGCACCTGGACACAGGGTCCACTTTTATCTCCTCTGCCCACAGGAGAGCTTGTGTGCCTCTCAGTCTGCATGAGTCTAAGTGGTTGCTTCTGTAGTCTTCTGACTGGTGTTACACTGGGCTCTAAACACAGACAATTCGCTCATGACATTACATTTCATTCCTAAAGTGGGTGTTGGACAGCCAGGTGGCTGAAAGGATTTATTTGCCTTCCATCTGGGTAGCTGGTGGAGACAGTCTTTGGCCACTAGATGGCCACGAGACATTGATAAGGCAAGTGCTGAGGTGGAAGCGAACCAATCCCTTCGAAAGTCACCCAGAGCAAGGCCAGCGAAGTGGAAAAGGAGGTTTTATTAGGCTCCCTTGAAGGATCCTGACAAATGATACAGCACAGAGGCAGACTACCTACAAAACTGTGTTTCCCAAGCCCCCAATCCAGGCAGCCGGATTTCTGCACTGCTTCTGGACGTGCAAGGCATTCTGATGAAATGGAATATCTGATCATCTGTCCCCCCCAAATCTTGAAGCTTCAGTTACTGCTGCTATACCATCAAAGACACAAAAAACAAAAGCTGCCCTAAATATATGCAGTGTGATTGAGGCCTCCTGTTGCCCCATATGCTTTACAATCATTTGAAAGACATGTGGGAAAAGTGCCTAAGTTAAGCTATTTTGAAAAAACAAAAAACAGTGTATTGCTAGTATTGACTGAGAGCAAGAGAGAAACAGCCAAGTGGTCACAACATTCGGATTAAAAATTATTTGGTTGGGATGATGACAAGGCTAATGTGAGATTCAACATTGCCACCTAGCCAAGCTGGGGTTGAAAATGCTCACCATCCCCACTAGAAACTATGGCTTAGATCTGTCCTGGGGAGCTGGTCTCCTCCAATATGGTAGCTCAGCCAGGACCAATGTGGGTTTGGATCTACTGCTGGCTGGTTACCTTGCAGAGAACTTCACCCTGAACTTGAGCTGGGCACAGCCAGAGAAGGGAATCTGAGCCTATCAGAGGTGAAAGGGACTTGAGTGTTCATCCCCATCCAGTATTCTCATTTGCTAGATGAGGAAACAGAGGCCCAAGATCTCATAGCAGGGAAGAAACATCAGATTTCTCACTGTGAGATGGCTTATAGTTAAATGACTTGTCCTGCAAATCCATTTCAATCAACAGGGTGGGTTTTTTTTTTTAAGTTTTTTTTTTTACAAAAATAAGTACTAAGATCTAAACTCACTGTTCCCTATTTCTAGGACTCCCCTAAGATTGGCTCTCCCGCTGCTGTCTTGGAAGGCCTCTCTGCTCTCTCCTCCCTCACACCAGCCCCCTTCCCGAGGCCTTGTGCCCATCCCTAGGAGAGTACCTCACACAGCCAAAGGAGACCCCTATTTGCCAGTGTAAACACATGGAGCCAGGCTGAAGTGTTGTAGTTTTCTCAAAGTGCTTTTATTGGTTCAATGCAAAGTCAGCCTCTACCTACTTCCTGGACATTGTGCAGCAAGCTCCCAGGGGCTCTTCCCCCACCCCCACCCTCATGATTTGGGCCAAGCGCATCTCTGTGCATGTGGGTTTTCCCAGTTCCCAAGCTCTCCCTCTATTTACCCTGTACCTCCGGACTTGGCAAACAGCCCTGGAGACCATGTGTGTGCAAATGCCTCAGGGACTTGGGGACCAGCTTAAACGTATTGCACATAAGTACTAACCAGTTTCCTTCTGTCCCAATGGAAAGAGGTGAGGGGGTCCCTCTTCTTTGGCCAATGAAACCATTAGGTTCACTTTAGTTGCTACTGTGCATCCAATTTCCTTCCTTGGTCTATCTAAGGGTGGCTGCTACATCTCAGGTGCTAAAACAATTACTGTAGTTTTGACATCAAGTGAGTCAGATCATCACATCCTCTAGGGTGGCTTCTGCTTCACAGTTGGGATGACCTCGCTCTCAAGCTACAGGTTCAGCTGTGATTTCAACTGAATCCGAGGCCTGGGATGGGGTTCGGACCTGCTCACTGTCAATGCCTTCTGTGCCCACTCCACTCCCCACCTGCACAGTAGCCTGGGCATGCATATTGCATATGCCTAGAAGAAATCGCTCTCAGACATCAATAAGCATAGGCTTTAGGTGATGAAAGACTTCTTATCGCATCGTCTCTTCCCACATCAGGACCTGGGTACTGAGTCTTTGAGCTCAGAACGTTCCTCCCTTCCTCCTCCCAGTCCCTGAAGCCTTGCCTCTCTCCTGAGCACACCCCACATGCAGCACTGTCAGGTCTCACGGGAGATGTAGACACCTGACTGGTGCTTTTTGACTCCAAGGAGTTTTCTGGTCGGGGGGCAAGGTGTGAAGGGGTCAGGAGGTGGGGGCCTTAGCTACACTCCATCCACTCATATTCTTTACCTCTTTGATGCATTTTCCTTCGGTAACCAGAGCCCCCGAGAGTGAGGATTCTGATTCAGCCTTGTACTGACTGAGGAAGGAGATGGAAGAATTCCACTTAGCGGTTGGATCAGATATTTTTTGGAAAAACACCAGCACGGCACAGAGACGGACAGTACAACCTGCCCTGCGTGGGCGGCTACCAACACAGTCTACAGTAAGCTTTATGGCGATCACATGTAAACGTCATCGAGAGCAAATACTAGGACAAAGCTACAACGAGATGGTTGCCAATAGCAGCTGCTCCCTCTGGGTTACTGCTTAAGTTGGTGGGAAAGAGACCAAGGTTGACTAGTTTTCCTGGAGAGGCGGCCTTGGAGTCTCCTTGGTAAATAATTCACAGCACCGAATGAGTCTTCCGGATACAGGTGGTCTGCAGGGTCAGTCAACTTTAGAACCTGTAGCCTTTTACGTACGGGATGGTGAGCAGACACTGGGTGATGTCTTTGGCAGGCATCCTCTCCCATCAGTGGCCCCCAGCTCTGACCTCTGGCATACCACGTCCCACTGCCATGCTCAGATCTCTGCTCTGCTCAAGGGCCAAGTTTAAGTAACTTCAAGAGCCCTGTACGAATCTGAAAGGAAACCTTCAGCTGACTCAGGGGAGAGACTTGTCCTTCACTAAAAGTCTGCATTTCTTGACCCTAAAGTATCACCCACCCCTGATTGAACCTCTGGCCTAGAACAATCGAGGAAGAAGCCAACAGGAGGGGCTGAGAAATGATCTAGTTCAACTCTGAGTCTAGAGTTCTTTCCTACCAACTTCTGCAGGGCGAAATCGAAGTTATTCCCAGTGCAAATGAAGACTCAGGAGAGGCAGCAGACAGGTTTAAGTTCCATTCTATTTCATAATCATTTATTGTGTGCCTACTGTGTGCTAGGCAGTGAATAGCTATAAAGGGAATTTAAAATGTTCAGGTCTATGCTGTGGGAAGTCCCCTTTTTTTTGGTCCATCCTTATAAACCCTGGCTTCCCAAACATGCTCATGTCTGCTATGTCACTCCCCACCCCAAATAGGATTTCATGTCACAGTAATATTGGGAGTTCTGTGCCAAAGAGTGGCTTTAGGGGAATTTTCTCTTATAGACCAGGACATGACAGACAGGGATGAGCCAGCATGAAACCCAGCCACCATACTGTTGTTGTGTGATGGAAACCTTTCAAAGATTAGACGAGGATCTCAAATGGGTTAAACTCTGACCTATTAGTAATGTCTGCCCAGAACACTGTAATGAGGATTCTAATAGCCTGACCAGGCTCAAAGAACATGAGTGCTATGGTCAATTAATCATGTCTGCCACTGGCCAAGGATGTGGCTATAGTGACACACATGCTGTGTATTTGCCATTTTGAGCTAGACTCTGCCTTAGCAGAAGCTAAAACTGTTTGTTAGAGCTGGCAGATGAAGTTGCCTAATTCTCTCCCTCAGTCCATTTCACAGAAAAGGAAGTTGGGGCCCAAAGAGATCAAGTGACTTGACACACTGGAGTTCAAATTCCCTAGTCCTCCTAAAGCCTGTCTCCTCCAGCCTTCTCTGTGGGCTTGGAGTATGCATACCACCCAGGACAAGCTCATCAGCTCAGTTTACCTACTGAGGTATTTGAAAATCGTTTTTAATTCTCAAAGGACTAGGCCTGGCATTAGCAATAGATTAAATTAGCTTGTTTAGTTTAATGAGTCAATTTCACACTTCTTTAAAGCAGGGCTGTTCTCTTTTTAAATACACAGTTTTCCCAAGGAACCCTGATGTCTGAAAGACGCCATGTTGGAGCTGCTCTGTCTGAGCAGAAGCAACGTGCTCACATCACACCCTGCCTGGCTGCGTTCTCCCTCGTGAATGCCCCCAAGGCACCTGCAGAACATCCCAGCTGGACATGGCTTTGTCATCACTCAAGAACACAAGTTTTAAAGTTAAAACCCAATTAGAATGTTTCCTAGGTGGAAAAGGAGCTTGGAGATTGTCTTATCTGGCCCCAACCCTCACATTCGCTTCCTGCTCCCCCTTTCCCATGCCACCAAAACAACTTTACAGATGAGGAAAGGGAAAGACAACTGAAGGGAGTAACATGGGTTGGTGACTGGTCCAAAAAGGATGACTGCTCCCAGATCACCTGTCCCTGCCACTCCAGGTGTGTCACTGAAGCTCTGATGGCATGTCCACAGGTGTTGGCAAACCACAGGACCCCTTGGATCAAAACACGCACCAAAACTTGAACTTACCTAATGCTGGGTCAGCAGCTGCTGACTTAACTCCCACACTGAGCCTGTAGGCTTCTAGCCTGTTGCCCAATGAAGCTGAACTCACCTCTAGGGAGAAGCCCCCGAAACTTTACATCTTTACCCCAGCTACTGCAAGAGCATGGGACCAGGAATCAGAAGGCCTAGTCTGGGCCACTATTCTGCCCTCTCACTGGCCATGGGACCTTGGGCAAGTCATTTTGCCTCTCGGGGCACTGCCTGCCTCACCTGGAAAAACAGGAAAAATGCAGCTTGGCCGCCTTCCTTACAAGGTCTGCAAAGATCTTGGCCTCTTGGAAGGACACGTGGCCAGGCAGAAACTCTGAGAGCTGGGCACCAGATGAGAGCTCCGACTGCAATTGGACCCAAACTCGCTCGATGAGAGATAGGGCAGGGCTTGGCAGAAAAGACCCAGAAGCATCTTTCCACTGCTTCTTGTTGTGGCTGCAGGCTGCACTTCCCTGGGGACCAGCCTACCGGCCACCCAGCACCTCCGGGGCATTCTGGCAAAGGGAGCAGAGCAGCTCAGTGGCAAACACCTCACGACAGTGCATAGTTTAAAAAATCAAGGAAGCAATACAATAACCCCAGGCACAGTACATCTGAGCCATAAATACATTATTTTAAGGATATACTTTTTTTTCTTCAATTAAAAATGAGTTTATAATCCTGATTCTATTCACAAGTAACAATTTCATCATCACACACTACAGACAAGAAATGTTATGGTGAACACGGCTGCACGTCTACGAGAGGAAGTCGGTCGGGAAGGAAGGAGAGATGGGTGACTGAACCAGCACTTGAAGATGTACCCAGGACAACCCGTTGGAAGCGAGGACACTAATGTGGCAGTGGAACGTCAACACCATGGAAACTCACAGACAGAAGCAGCTTTGTTCAATGTAAACATTGATTTTTTTTTTAAAGGACAGCAGTTTCAAGTCTCTCTCACGCGCTCGCTCTCTCGCCTTCTCATATACTTATTTTCTTTGAAAACGTAAACATATTGAAAGGGCCTTGTCTGAGGTATTGAGGTATTCCTCGAAGGTTAAGGCTGTTATCAATGCAGGCTCTGCTGGGCCTCCTTTAGTAAGCTGTCAAAATCCATGGCTTCATACTTGTTTTTCACTGACGCAGGAAGAGCCTCTTCTGAATTGGAATCTGGGCAGGGAGGTGGAGGGGTCAGTGAGCAGGGAAGGCAGTGAGCAACTTAGAAAGGCCAGACAATCAGACAATCTGCCACCAGGGTCAACCCCATGGAGTGGATGTGGCCCAAGGCCTCAGAGAGCTCTGGACAGTACACATCAGCTCTGCCATTCTGCAGTGACACCTCTGCCATGTCACCAATGTCTCAGGGCCTCAGCTGCCCTAGTTGTAGGATGGGGGGCCCTGAACTAGAGCATGCCAGAGCTCCTTTCCAGCTCCAATATCTTATAAGGACCTCACTGTATAGCTATGGAACTGGGTCCCAGGTGGAGCACTGCCTGACCTAGAACCCTCCGAGGTCTCCTGACACTCAGCCCTACACTATGGAGGCTGCATCGGACTTGTCCCTACAAATAATTCTCTCCTAAATTGTATTTCTTTGTCCTTCTTCACCATCTTGTCCTCAAATAGTGAGGGCATGGTGACAATACTGTTTCACTGTGGCCTCTTAAAGGACCAGGCTGCTGCCTGTTGGGGCCACCACGGAATGCCCCTCAAGGAGGCAGAGCAACCACTGGCCCTGTAAGGTCAAAGAAACAGTAGTCATGGCTCTGCCTGCTGGCTGTGACAAGGTTGGACCTTCCAAGAGGCCATGGGGGGGCTTGAGTCTCTCTTTTTGGTACCAATCCTGGGACAGGACAAGACGGACCAGAGGCCAGAAGAAAACCAAGATGGCAGCCTCCAGGCAAAGTGGCTGCAAAGTTACACCAATCAGCACATTGGAACTTGGGTGTGGGAGGTGTGTCCTGGTGGGGCTTTAGGTCTGGGTTTCTTTATAGGAGGTCCTGTTCCTCATGCTTCGGGTCTTACTAAAATGCGGCGGGGCCTTGTGTACTTACCGTAGTCAGTGTATCTGGGCCAATAGAAGTGCCGGAGGCCTCCATAGCTCAGCTGGAAGGAGGGCTCATTGCGTTTCCGCAGGGCTGCACCATTCCTCAGAGAGAGGGCAGCGTGCTCAGAACACCGGTAAGTAATGAAGCCATACTTCTCACCTCTAGGAGGAGAGGACAAGAGGACCACGTTACTAGGCCAGCTTGGTGGACATGAACCATTACTAGGTGAGGAGCAGAAAGCCGCAATGATTCAGTGACCATGTCACATGACACACACAGACACACACACACCCAAGTACAGATGATGACGATCGCTAGGCTGACCTCCGCAATGTCACAACAATAAGAGGTCCTGCCCACCACACATAGCCCCACACACTCTTCAGACCACTCTGTGAGTGGGTGCTTCTATCATCTCCACCTCAGGGATGAGGAAACAGGCTCTGTGGAGTTCAAAATTGGCCCAAAGGCAGGGGCCGGCCGAGTGGCTCAGTTGGTTAAGAGCTCGCTCAAGAGTTTGAGCTCTGAGCAACAGCGGTTCGAGTCCAGCCCCAGCTGAGCAGCCGCTGA